TCCCTGAGCATCATTAACAAAACAACAGACAAGAGATTATCATTCATTATAGTGTTCTAGATCAGTGTTCTTCAACAGATTGAATATCAGGGTGCAAAGGATGCGTGTGCTTGAGGCTATCCATCTAAGGGTGTGTTGTTGATGTTCAGTGATCAGTTCTTGTTAATGTTGATTGGTTGGTTCATATATTGTATATTTTAAACTTTGTTGTGTGTAGCTTCATCTGTGTTCATTCCTGGCAATGCTAGACTATAATGAGGAGGCAGTGATGGTCATCTACACAGATGGTTTTAAAAGAGGATTGGGCAGTATGTACCTTACAGTTACTTTTTGTAACTGACAATCCAATAATGTGTACTCTGTGTGTCTTTCTGTTTTTGTTTTTATGTTACATTTATGGTGCTACTGTTGAAAACCAATAATTGGGTATCACCCAGTATGTCTGATCTGACATCATAGCAGTCACAAGCAGTATTGAAAACGGGATTGTGTAATCATGATTCTATAATCATAAGAACATCTGGAACAGCCCTGTGTAAACCAAGGATGGGGAATCTGTGGTCCTTCAAATGTGGCCGGACCACAACACCCACCATCTCAGAGTATTGGCCATGCCAGCTGGGGATGAACTCCAACATCATCTGGGGTATCAAAGGCTTACACCCTTCCCTTAGTGGCTGGCAGTGGGACAGAGTAATCTGTGGGGTAAATGGCCATATCCCAGCATCAACTGATTTCACAAGCATAACAGAAGAGAGAAGGTTAAGTACATACAGTAAATTAATATCAGTTTTTTATAGTGGGCTGAAAATGCTGGTAAAATATTATCAGTAAAGAGAAATTATGCTAAGCATGAGAATGTGAAAAGATACTATCATCTCTTAGCCCAGCTCTACCAGTATAAATATCTGCCTGTCTTGGTCGTAGGCATCCATATTTGGTTCCTGCCAGCACCATGAAGACACTGAGTGCTTTCTTGCTTGTGGGTCTCCTAGTCCTTTGGTCAGGGATGTCCGTATCGGGTACAATATTTTTCAGAGGTAAGTTCCAAAGGCACCTTCTGGAGCAAGTGGTAGCCAGAGATACAGGTGAGAAAGGTCCTTTTGCTTCTGCTAAGGATGGATATTGTCATAGGTGGGGGACCTGTGGCCCTCCAAATACCGTATTTTTCACTCCATAAGACACACTTTTTTCTTTCTAAAAAGTAAGAGGAAATGTCTGTGCGTCTTATGGAGTGAATGCATGGTTCCTGGAGCCGAATTGCCCAGGGGCAAAAAGCAGATCATGCTTTTTTTTTTTAAAGAGGGAAGTGGGTGTTGAAACAAAGCCATCGTTTGCTGATCAGGGAGAGAGCTAAAGGAGGCTGCCTAGGAGGGGGAGGTAAAGACAGTAAACTTGCAAAGGGGGGGGGGGACAGGAAAATTAAAGCAATAAGGAAATTAGAAGAAAAGGAGAAGCAAAGAAATTAGAAGCAAAAAACTGTTCCAGCTAAGGAAAAGACTCTAGGGCAAACAAGAGGGAAGGGAGTGTTGAAAGGAAGCAGCTGATTGGTGGGATCGGAAGAGAAATAAGGGAGGCTAGCGGAGGCTGCCTGGGAGGGGGGAGGTAAAAGCCCATGGATCCTCAGGATTTTTGCACTGGGTCACCCCAAATTCACCATCAGATCACATAGCATGTCCATGGCTACAGCCTGCACCCAAAAAATCACACACCCACTGTTTCGTGGGGCCGCAATGGCGCAAAAACGTGGTTATAAAGCACGGATCCACATGGATCCTCAGGATTTTTGCATTGGGTCACCCAATGAGCTCCATCTTCCCTGACCATGAACCATAAAGACTGTGCCAGATGAACCCCTTTCTGAAGGCTTTTCCATAACTGGGGTGCTACTATTGAAAAGGCCCATTTCCTAGTGGTTATCTGCCTCCTTCCATTTGGTCAGGGTGCCCCGTCTGAAATGATGATTAAGGTTGGGATAGACATAAGGAAGGCACTCTTGCAGGTAACCTGGTTCCAAGACAGAGGGGGCTTTGAAATTGGGCCCAAAAGTGGAGAGTATGTGACAAGCAAATGCATATGGACAAAATACCCAGTCCCAGCTAATCATTTTGCAACCCTGTTTTGGACCTGCTCCCACTTCTGAACTGTTTGCCACACAATATTTTCTTTATGCATTTGTTTTTATGTGAAACATTTTTAGCCTGCTGTTCATAAAAATGATTGCCAGGGTGTTACATCTATAAAAACCACAAAACATAAAAATGCAATAATAAAACTTTTAAGGATGCAGTGAGATCACTAAAACGTATTTAAGAGGACAATCTCTGCATCAGCGGAACAAGCAACAATTTGTTGTTGTTGTTTAGTCGTTTAGTCGTGTCCGACTCTTCTTGACCCCATGGACCAGAGCACGCCAGGCACGCCTGTCTTCCACTAAGTGAATAGAATTAAAGAATTTGAAAGGGCTCAGTCAGTGCCAAAAAGAGTCAAGTGTTGGCACCTATCACACACCTGAAGGAAGGGTGCTCTAGAAATGGAGTGTAACCCCAACTCTAGTTGCCATGTAAGATACCTTTCCACATTGGCCAGCTCAGTTGTGCTTTCTCTTAGTTCTTGCAGGGCTTTTAAAATTCTCACTAATAACTTGAATTTGACTCAGAACCACTCATTATGTTACTGTTTCTGTTTCAGGAAAACCTGGTGTCTGTCCACTGTTTCCCATGAGATGCTTAATTGTGAATCCCCCTAACAAATGCATTTTTGACAAAGACTGCCCTAGCAATTTGAAGTGCTGTGTAGGGCCTTGCGGGAGAGACTGCTTCCAACCACTTTTCGGTACAATAAATAGTAAGTTGTTGTATTATGTTTTATTCATTTATTCTATTTGTTATATTTCCTCCAAGGAGCCAAGTGAGGATTCCTAGGTAAGATCCTCCCTCTATTGTGTGGGCAGGTAATCCCTCCCCTACCTGGCCTGGTCTCCTTGGCAATGCTTCCCCCAGGTGGGATTGGACAACTGACTGAGGTAGGTGGAGACCTCCAGGTATCCCACCTGAGGGAAGGCAAAGCCAAGCCTATGCTGTTGGAGCCGCTCCAGATCTAGGGGCTGCACGCGTCCACGCAAAGGGCACCCCCATTTTAAGCGGGGAGCGGTCATTGCCAGGGTGTTACATCTATAAAAACCACAAAACATAAAAATGCAATAATAAAACTTTTAAGGATGCAGTGAGATCACTAAAACGTATTTAAGAGGACAATCTCTGCATCAGCGGAACAAGCAACAATTTGTTGTTGTTGTTTAGTCGTTTAGTCGTGTCCGACTCTTCTTGACCCCATGGACCAGAGCACGCCAGGCACGCCTGTCTTCCACTAAGTGAATAGAATTAAAGAATTTGAAAGGGCTCAGTCAGTGCCAAAAAGAGTCAAGTGTTGGCACCTATCACACACCTGAAGGAAGGGTGCTCTAGAAATGGAGTGTAACCCCAACTCTAGTTGCCATGTAAGATACCTTTCCACATTGGCCAGCTCAGTTGTGCTTTCTCTTAGTTCTTGCAGGGCTTTTAAAATTCTCACTAATAACTTGAATTTGACTCAGAACCACTCATTATGTTACTGTTTCTGTTTCAGGAAAACCTGGTGTCTGTCCACTGTTTCTCATGAGATGCTTAATGGTGAATCCCCCTAACAAATGCATTTTTGACAATGACTGCCCTAGCAATTTGAAGTGCTGTGTAGGGCCTTGCGGGAGAGACTGCTTCCAACCACTTTTCGGTACAATAAATAGCAAGTTGTTGTATTATGTTTTATTCATTTATTCTATTTATTCTATTTCCTCCAAGGAGGTGAAGGTTGTGCACATTGTTCTCCCATTTGATCCTCATGACAACCTTGTGGGGTAGGTCACGTTGAGAGACAGGGACTGGCCAGGGTGGCCCAGTTAAGCTCAGACCACAGAGGGCAAAGCCTTTTACTAAAGCACCTACCCAAGAGTGCAAAGTTCAAGGTGCACCATGCTCTCAAGAATCAAGCTAAATACAAAGCATGATCTAGAAACAAGGTCAGGAAGCAATCCAAGGTCCAGAGTAGAAGCACCCAACTGCCCTTGCTTTAATACAGCTGAGTTGGTAGAACATGAGATCCTCACTCTCAGGGTAATGGATGTGATAATGGGCAAAAGATTCCTGCATTACAGGGGGTGTTGGTCCCTTCCAACTCTATGAACTTCGGCCCAAATTTTTGGTTGCTGGTGATCTGGAGGACTGGGGGATTGCCCAACCTTCTCTTCTGACAGCTCCAGGAGTTTGTCAGCAGGTGTCATCCCAGAGAGCTCCTCAAGAAGATCTCAGCATTGGATTCAGGGTCCCCTGCCTCTTCCACATTGTATGATTGGTACTCAATAATTTGACTACATTTCACACAATGCTGCAATATCTGGGAATATTCTTTAGGGATGTTTTCAGGCTAGAAGAGAATAAAGAACGTGGTGAGCTGCAATCAGAGATGGAAACATTGCTTTTCTGAGTTTATCTTTCATACTCGCTGTCCTTACCCAAAAGCGTTGCCAAGGAGCACTACAAGCTAATTAAAGCGCAGTATGTCATTTCATCTTATAGTATTTTATTGTTATAGTGGTGTTTTAGCGGCTGTTTTTTTCCCACGTGCACAAGCTGTTATTTATGTCTTGTTTTTATCTGTATGGGCCTATGGCCGTAATAAATGATTTGATTTGATTTGATTTCATACTACAGTGGTACCTCGGGTTACATACGCTTCAGGTTACATACGCTTCAGGTTACACACTCCGCTAACCAGAAATAGTGCTTCAGGTTAAGAACTTTGCTTCAGGATAAGAACAGAAATTGGGTGGCACGGCAGCAGGAGGAGGCCCCATTAGCTAAAGTGGTGCTTCAGGTTAAGAACTGTTTCAGGTTAATTACGGACCTCTGGAACGAATTAAGTACTTAACCCGAGGTACCACTGTACACTTTATTTCTCTGTAGGAGAGAAGCCTGGAAGCTGTCCAGTCATAATTGCTTCATGCTGGACCCCCCTTATAAATGTGATGTTGACTATGACTGCCCTAAAAATAAGAAGTGTTGTGAGGGGATATGTGGCAGAGACTGCTACCTGGCAATTTTTGGTACTGTAAACAACACTAATATGAGGTGGGTCATGTATGTTCCACTTAACAGCTGGGAAGTGATAGGGACTATTCGTCCAAGGAAAGTGATTTCAGAAACAGGAAACATTGCTGCTTGTGTTCTGGGATGCCCCCCAAAATTCTGAAGGTTGGGCTAACCTTCCAAGAAGAAGCATAGCATTGTACTTGAAGGACACAACTTAGAGGGCATTTCCAATAGTTGCGTTGCACTCCTGACAAATGACATCAGGTGATGGACAGGTGGACGATGCTTGCCCAAAGCAGTCCCTTTTAGCATTGGAGCATCGCCAGTGGAGGGTTTGCCACGTTCTAATCCAGCCCTTTGTTAATGAAGTGGTTCCTTACCACTGCCCTACCATGATGGGAAATGACTTGGAATGAGAACAATACCAGCAACTGTGCCCAGGCAATTAACAATGACAATCCAAGCGTTTTAGTACTTTAGCATATTGCTAGGTCTCCTTACTTTAAGCATATGCAGCTATACTTAGATTTGGAACCTGATCTTATTTCGACATTTCAGTGCTGGTAAAAGCAATCCCATATTAAAGAAAGAACCAGGACAATCCTTGTAGGGACTGGGCCTACAGTCTACATGTGAGAGAAAATGGGGTTGGCTAAGCAGAAGAGGCAAACGAAAGCAAGTAAACACATTAGATATGCTAGATATGCAAAGTAAATGCTGATGTTTAGGAGAAGAATCAAGTCTTACTGTAAATAATACCAGACATGATAGGGTCACCTTCTTCTTACAGGCAATCCATTATTATTCATGGTACATAACAAGTTATATTGCAGTTGTATATTACTGTAAATCCAATCATGAATAACCACAACCTAGTTCTATATCTAGAACCTATTCAATTATTGCCGTGCTTTCAGTGTCCATTAGGTCCTGAGTCTTCCATCAGAGCTATAACATGTCAGAAGAATTAGAGTTATCATGTGCACTAGGGCAGCCAAGGCCAACAATTATTCTTCTATAGCCTTCAGATGTGGTATCAGAATTGTTAATCAACATTGAACCATTCAGAATGTGAATAACATTTTTGCTATAGCTATAGTTTGTGATGGGTGTATTTAATTCAGTAGATCTTTCTTTCTCTTTCTCAGTACCCAGCACCAACGTGAATTAAGCTGTTTCACCCATAGTCATTCCTGAGGTTAAAAGTCAGCAGTCAAGTATAGAAGGAAAATCCAGCTGAATGATTCATCGATTTTTTCTTTGGAAATAGTAAATCGGGGAAGAAATGCTCAGTGTTTGAAGACGTGGTTTCTTAAGTATGTGATGGTTGTGATTTGGAAAGGAAAATAATAAATTCCCCATTCATGTCTTCAGCTTCACATCCCCTGTCATGCTAACTCTTCAGATAAACTGCTGCTGATGTCCCATATAGAACAGCACTTGCCAACTCATTACCAATGATAGGACTAAAGCTTCACCAGAGTCTCAAACATTTGAGGGGAACCAGGTTGGGGGAGGCTGATTTGGATAAGCAACACAAGTCAAATACCCTGGATAGGGCTGAGTGAAAGCTACTGCAGCTTCTAATTTTTTGCCTTTTACTAGGGATGCCTTTGAAATGTTTTACCATTTTGGTTTTGGATTGTATAGGTCTTCGCTGAAATCCAGCAGTTTTGAAATGGCAAAATATTTCATTGAGTAACATACCTTCTAGATCAGGGGTAGGCAACCTAAGGCCTGTGGGCCGGATGCAGCCCAATCGCCTTCTCAATCCGGCCCACGGACTGTCCGGGAATCAGTGTGTTTTTACATGAGTAGAATGTGTCCTTTTATTTAAAACGCATCTCTGGGTTATTTGTGGGGCATAGGAATTTGTTCATTTCCCCCCAAAAAATATAGTCCGGCCCACCACATGGTCTGAGGAACAGTGGACCGGCCCACAGCTGAAAAAGGTTGCTGACCCCTGTTCTAGATGTTGCTGAACCACAACTCACATTAGCTGGGGCCGTTGAGAGCTGGAGTCCAGCAACAGATGGAAGGCACCACATTGTCTACTTTTGGTATTATGGGATCTGAGTGAGGTGAGAACCTTCAAAGGGCAGGTGCAGCATTCTTTCCTTCCCCCCCCCCCAATCAAACCAAATTACTTTAATTTAATACAATTTCGATAAAAAACAGGTTTCCCACTCCTGTTGCAAACATATGTCAGTCATTTCCTCCTGTAGCCGCATCAACTCTTATTTAATGCCCAGCTGATCCGTCACTTGGAGCCAACTGATGATTCCCAGGTAAGATCCTCCCCCTATTGTGTGGGCAGGTAGTCCCTCCCCCCTACCTGGCTCGATCATCTTGGCAAAGCCTCCCCAGGTGAGATTGGGCAACTGAGGTAGGCGGAGACCTCCAGGTATCCTACCTGGGCTAGGTGAAGCCAAGCCTGTGCTAATGGTGCCGCATAGGGTCCAGGGGGCTGCATGCGACCACACAAAGGGCGCCCACCATTTAATGTGGGGAGCAGTCATTCTTGCAGCTGACATGCTCCCCCTTACAAATAGCGCCTCTGTTACATCTTATAAATATAAAATCCATATACATTGTTGTTTCAGACCTGGTGTGCTGGGAGAATTAATTACTATCTTCCATTGTTCAGTTCTTTGCAGTGTTTATCTGGCTGGTACTAGGTCACATTCCATTCCTTCCGCTGTTCACCAACTAGCGTACAGGCTGCGGCCATAAATAACTCACAGAGTGCATGTCTGGTCTCTGCCATTAAAATTCCACTCTGGAGTTCTTGATCAGCACACAGTTAAAGACAAAATCTTTTTTTAAAATTCAGCCTCTTGCCAGATTTATTCAGCATCCGCTCATTCTTCTGCTCTGCATTGCTCCCTCACACTCCTGGGTCCAATCCTAAGATAATTTTAAATAAAGTCCATTCAACCTCAATCAAGGGGGGAGGGCACAATAAAACCTTGTTAAATTCATTGTTTACCTGACGAGACTGGCTGGTTCTGAAAAGCCACCTGAAGGGGATGTTACATCCAGACATCCCGAGGCATTGTGGGAAATTTGTTTTTTTATTATGAATATTTATTAAAGTTTCAAAGAAAAGATTACATAAATAAAAAGAGAAAAAAGAGAAAATTAAAAATTAAAAAAAATAAAAATACAAAATACAGAAAAAGATAATAAACATTTTTAAAAAAACACACATCAATCTTTCGTACCTTACATTTCATTTCGCTTACTTCCCTTGACCTCCTCATCACCCTCCCTTTTTTTGTATTCCAATTCTATTAATTAATTCAGCAATTCCTTTCCCTCTTTGTTTTTATCTTTAATCCTTTAACTTAATAAATTAGAACTTTGAGTTTTCCCCTGGTAACAATCCATTTTTACATACACCTTAATAACATTGCTGCTAAAACCACTTAAACTTCATTCAGACTCATTCAACATTGCATTAATTTTGCAATATTTCTGTAAATAGTCTAAAATTTCTCCAATCTTCTTCCACCAACTCTTCTCCCTGGTCTCAGATTCTGCCAGTCATTTCCGGCCAATTTTCCATATAGTCCATACCTTCATCTGCCATTCTTCCAGAGTGGGTAAATCTTGTGTCTTCCAATACTTTGCAATAAGTATTCTTGCTGCTGTTGTAGCATACATAAAAAAAAGTTCTGTCCTTCTTTGGCACCAATTGGCCGACCATGCCGAGGAGAAAGGCCTCTGGTTTCTTCAGGAAGGTATATTTATATACTTTTTTTCAATTCATTATAGATTCATCTCCCAGAAAGCCTTAATCCTTGGGCATGTCCACCAAAGGTGAAAGAATGTACCTTCAGTTTCTTTACATTTCCAACATTTATTATCGGTTGCAAATGATAGATTTTGCAAGCTTGACTGGTGGCATTGTGGGGAAATTTGAAATGTGTTGGGCAGCTTCCCCAGAACTAGCTGCAGACACCAAATTTAGCCCCACAGCTAGGGATCAGGCAAGTGGGAAGGCCAAAGTTTAGAACACCAGGTGCTCCTGTTCTGGATGCAGGCTGGTATATAATAATAATAATAATAATAATAATAATAATAATAATAATAATAATAATAACAACAACAACAACAACAACAATTATTATTATTTATTTATTTATTTATTTATTATTTATTTATTTATTTATACCCCACCCATCTGGCTGGGTTTCCCCAGCCACTCTAGTGACTTCCAACCAAATATTAAAACAATACAGCATCAGACATTAAAAACTTCCCTAAACAGTTGTCTTTTAAAAGTAAAATAGTTGTTTATTGTCTGACATCTGCTGGGAGGGCGTTCCACAGGGCAGGCGCCACTACTCAGAAGGCCCTCTGCCTGGTTCCCTGTAGCCTCGTTTCTCACAGCGAGGGAACTGCCAGAAGGCCCTCAGCGCTGGACCTCAGTGTCTGGGCAGAACGATGGAGGTGGAGACGCTCCTTCAGGTATACTGGACAGAAGCCATTTAGTGCTTTAAAGGTCAGCACCAACACTTTGAATTGTGCTCAGAAACGTACTGGGAGCCAACGAAGATCTTTCAGGACCGATATTATATGGTCTCGGTGGTAAAAGTCTTCTTCCTGATACTCTGGAAAGTCGTTGTCATGAGGTCAGTAATACTAGGTCAGGTGGAGTAATGAGAAGACTAATTATAAGGCAGCTTCTTATGTTCCTGGATGAATATCCAAAGAAGGGAGGTGTCACCACCTTTCTGCAAGTGCTCTGAGAAACAGTTTTTTGAGTTTTGATAGCAGCAGGTGTTGGGAAGTAGCTTTTCTTTGCAAGAGAATACCAAGGTTATGTCACTCCAAGAGTAGACCATATCAAATTTTGAGCAGCAGGGCGGGCGCCAGTCACAAAATGACTACCATGTGAGGCATGACATAACATGAAATTAAAGAGAACACAGTCCTTGCTGCTCCCCAAGCCCCAGACTATCTCATGCTTACCATGGAAAGTCAACTACGTCCTCCTAATTCTGATTGTGGAGGTACAGTTGTTAAAGACACAAGAATCCTGATTTCCCCTGTCCCAATCTCAAAACCAAAGACTAAGCTACTACCCTGTACCCACTTGTGTAGCGTTCATTGCAGAAAATAACTTCTTGAGAGTACCTGATCTCAGACCAATCCACCACATGAAAGATCCATCCTGGTTGCTAGGGAAAGTAAAGGTAAAGGACCCCTGACCATTAAGTCCAGTCATGACCGACTCTGGGGTTGCGGCACTCATCTCGCTTTATTGGCCGAGGGAGCTGGCGTACAGCTTCTGGGTCATGTGGCCAGCAAGACTAAGCCACTTCTGGCGAACCAGAGCAGCGCACAGAAACGCCATTACCTTCCCGTCGGAGCGATGCCTATTTATTCTACTTGCACTTTGACATGCTTTCGAACTGCTAGGTTGGCAGGAGCAGGGACCGAGCAACGGGGAGCTCACCCCATCGCGGGGATTCGAACCGCCAACCTTCTGATCAGCAAGTCCTAGGCTCTGTGATGGCAAACTACACAGATTGCAGGTACTACTATAAAATGAGGCAGAAGCAGGGAAAGTGAACTAAAGGGAAGGGAGAACAGATGCTCTTCAGGACATCCACTTGTCATAGCTCTGCATTCACTCATGGCTAAAAACACGGGCAGGAGGAAACATCTAGGCTAGGTGACTTCACAGAAAGCTTAGAAGGGCGCCAGCACATTTTGGTTCGTAACTTTACTCCCCATTAAAAAATGGGAGCTCAGAGTTGTGAGTGCCAATGAAGGTCTTCATAGGCAGCAGGCTGGCACGCACACACCCACACCCATTTTAAGTGATGATTATACATCCAAAAATATTTCTCAATTAAAAGCTTATAGTTTCTGGCTTAGGGTTGCCTGGTTTCTGTCCCCCAAATTTAGGCAGCCTAATTTGCACATTATGCAAACCACGCAGAAGGTTGAATGAGGTTTCAGATGACTTTTCAATCCATATTAACCCCCATGAAAGCTGCTTACAGGAAGAAAGGCTGTGCTGACATTGGCCTCCATTGCCTGAGTGAATCACTCTGAACATGACCAGGAAGATTTGGGAGGTAGCACACCCAGAAAGGAGCCAATTCCTGCTCCAAGAAGCACGTAGGATTTCCCCTTTCCTGAGTCTGTACTCATTGC